CATCCTGCAAACTGGATTTTTTCGGACCTTCTCTCCCTGGAAGAATCAACGGAGCTTCAAGCTGAGTTGGGGTTACAAACAGGAGGTTTGGATCCACTTTCCCCAACAGATCGTTTGAGCTTCACACTGAGAAAGGGATTCATCTCCACTACTACCCGTTCAAGTACCGCAGGAAATCTGAGTAGCAGTCAGCTTCTCTGTTCACCTACAAATTCTGGGTAAACCCTGTTCCGCCCTTCTCCGAATCAGACAAACACTGGAACAACAGCATACAGACTGGAGTTAAAAATTCAATAACTTCTCTGGAAACGTGAGTCAGCAACCATATCCTCTTCTCCAAGTTCACAAATCAAATTTCCCACTGAGCCTGAACTAATCGCTGTGTCTTCCCCTCGCTTTTCAATTCTGGTTGAGCAGTGTTCAGAGCAACACTTCTCTCTGCATTATCTCTTCAATAAAACCTGTTAAACCTTTTCTCCTGGTCTCCCTGTTTGGTCTTCAGCATTTGGGTCTGAACTTTTGTAAAATCATGACAGTCAAGTTTTATTTATAACTCAAATTGGTTAATAAAGGAAACTCTTAATTTGCTCTACTAAGATTGTGTCAAGCACATATAGTTATCCTTGCTTTCTCACTGAGATCTTTGTGCATTTCTAACCGCATTTTTTTTTTTTTATACCTCTCTCAAAGTGGCTAACAACTCACAGGCAGGAGATAATAAGATGACCCAGTCCCTGGGAGTAGATACCAGCTTGCTGCTGAAGGTCTGAGAAAAGGAAACAAAATAATATCCTATCAGGAGAGGCCCCGATTGGAGACAAATCTTATGTGGAACATATACTTTACACTAGGGGTGGGTATTGCCAAAGAAGTCCCGATTCGATTCAAATCACGATTCACATGCCATGATGCGATTCTATCACGATGCATCATGATACTTGATATTTTCATTGAACACTGTTAGAAGAAAATACAGACATGTTGTTATAGTGTTTTTAATTGATACATAACTGAAAGCAACTGAATTCATACATAGCTGTATTTATTGAAACAACTTTTGGAGGTACTGCCATGAAAACAAATACTGGACAGAAATATTACTATTAATGGTGTGGACACACTGACAAAAAATGCTTAGGATTTATAAAACTTGAAATAACAACATAGGGATAATCAGTGCCGTTTACATGGCCTCAGTGGTCCTTTAAACCACTGAAATGAAAAAATTCTAATGTATGACATTTCCCCTTTTGCAAATTGCGTGCATCATATCAAATCTGTTTTTACCTTCTTTGTTTTTAAAGCCAAAATGCATCCAAACATCTGACTTGAAATGTGATGGAGTCGGGCGAAAATTCTCAGTCTCCTCCGTGTTTTGTTTATGAATGAGTCGTCGCAGTATCCCTCGGACGGAAAATGCTTGTGACACAAGGCAGCGGGCGTCAACACATCCGCAGTGACATCTACTAACTGGAAGCTGTATTCCACTTGTTTTTGGTGGATGTGTGCCAACCGTTCATGTATTTTATTTATTCCTTTTTTTAAATTAAGAATCGATACTTCGCGTCAAGAATCGATGCAGTAGATCACAAGAATTAGAATCGGGATGCATCGTTATGACGATTATTTTGCACACCCCTACTTTACACTGGACATTTTTATGGACAATTGGGTAATTTTGTAACAACATATGATATGCTGAGCAGACTCTTAATAATATATAACAGGTCAGCCAATCTGAATGTTTACTAAAGAACAGGGTAGTTTATCTAAATGGTACACAGTGTTTAAATCACTGGATTATTGACTTCTATGAGGCTTTAGTGAAAGTTGTACACATCTGGGTGGAACAAGGCTATGCAACTGGGATAAACATTTTTCTAATTTGAGAGGATCTTTGTCCAAAAGGTCCAAGTATAAATCCAGGACAATATGTCAAAGATTTAAACTAGTGATGTTTTTGAAATTGAATTGCACAAGGTAAGTACCATAGTTTAAAGAAAAACAAAGTTTTTATAATAAAATAAACAAACAGTTAACTGAAATCATAGGAAATTATATAATATCTATAATAAACACAGTAAATTACCCAAAAGCTTAAAAACATAATTTTCATAAATTTCACATCTTTTAATCCCATTTAATGTTCCGCTGTTTTTCGAGTCACTTTTTATATATTATATGTGTAATGTCAAAAGTATACACAAACTTAAGTGAAATTACCGATACCTGTTTAAATAAAAAGACTTTGATAAAAGTAAAATTACCCATTGAACTCCTTTTTATATGTTTAAGCAAAAAAGTACAGGTTCTACATTGTACTAAAGTACAAAAGTAAAATTAAATGTTTGTCAAAAACAATACAAAATAACTCAAAAATATTCTTAAAAACTTTTCTATGCATAGTTAATGGGGTGACATCCTGTCCTTTTCACTTTGTTGGTAAATAAAACATAAAAAAGTAGTTCTGAATCAAAATTTTGTTCACACGTTAGTCCTCAACATAACCCCCACCCCAAGAGGAGAACCTGGAGAGCCTTAAAAGAAACATGACAAAACCTTTCCTCATGGGGAACATTCGTTGCTCGCCACGAGTATCTATAAGTCCCAATAATGAAGCATATTCCTGGATAATCGTCCCCATAAGGTTAAAAAAACATGGCTGGAATTCAAGACTTTGTGTCAATTTGCTCTTTCTAGTTGACACTGACTAAGTCATACTGCTAATCAATTGCAAAGTGTCTTTGGTACTACATAGCTAAGGCTTAGGAAGAGTAAGTCTCATCAAAAAATTCTTGATCTCTGTGTTGTTAAAAATGTGTGTAAATCCAACTCAGTTAAACAATTTCTGTCTGTAATGTTTCACAAAAAATGTTTGAGTGTGATAAATCAGGAAAAACTAACAATAAAATGATAAATCCATAAAGAAAATGTAATAATAATGGAGATTATGTATAAATACATATAAAAGTTACAATCCTGTAACTAAAAAAGCCAACTTTTTTTTCCAAAGCCTTTAATTGTCTGACAGGTTGGAGCCTGTTTGTCAATCAGCAACCCTTTTGTGCTCCAGTCTGGGAGTTAAACTTGTAGTCTGAATCCACCATTGGCTTATGAAGCTGAATTCTATCCCCCCAAATTCCTCTGGGGCTGACAAACGTCAACAAAGAGCCAGAGAGAGACCAAAGAGAGGTGAGCAGTGAACTTGAACTGAAGCCTCATTGTATCGGCTCATTATGGGGTCCCGTGGTGAGGAAGAGGCTATTTTGTTGGGCCACAAGGTCAGTATCTAAAAAGGCATGGCAATGGAGGGGATAAGCCACACGAGTTTTAATTTGAGAAGGCATAAAGACACTTCCCTGCAAAAAAGCAGTCTTGGAATTTCTATTGACGGTTATGATGAATGTAAAATTAAAATAATAATAAAAAAATCTTTATTTTATTTCAGTTATCCCACACACATACATAATAAACACTATTGTTTCCAACTTTAAACAACCACTAAGGGCATCTGTTAGTACAATAAAGTCTACAGGTGCCATTCATATTGCACATCCTAAGAATGGTCTCCCAAAACATCTGTTTCCAAGGCTGTAGGAGATATTTTATGCCTCCCGTATTTTCTTTCCCAGGAATTTTGATTTTACTTCCAAATAGATTTGAAAGAGGGGGGGTTAGCTGTCACTCTCCATTATGGTGACCTCAATGATTTTGTGCTCTGTCCAAATCCAGTGGTTTTCCATAACAATGCAAATTAAGGAGTGCAAAGCCGAAGGAGACAATGCGTGTTATTTCCCATCCAGAGTACAGAGGTTTCTTTACAACAAACTTGTCTGTATGGCTTGTGTAGACTTTGACAGAATTTATATAGCGACTTGGAAGTTGTTTTGTCCGACACAAAAAGGAGAAACGTTTTTGATGTCAGTTCTTAAGGATCAGCAGCTGTCCGGAGAAAAAGTGGTACTCACGCTGTGGAATGGGACAGGAATGTCCCTGCAAGAGATTAATTTTGTGAATGAAACGGTTTGGGGAGCTGCTTACCTAAATGGGTAGAAGTTAAAGGTTACCCCTACCGGCAAAAATGGGAAATATGAACTCTATGAACTTCACCAGAAAAATATCTAATCTTATCTTAAGATCTAAACATCTCTTCAACACAACACTTCACCTGTAAAGACAACAGAGAAGATCCAACCAATGGTTTAGATAACACTGTTGGTGCATCAAGAAGGTATAAAAAAGAGCTTTGATGTGCCTCAAATGTATCCATTACACGGTCAAAAAAACATCCCAGCTCATTTTAGTCTCTGGAATTTATTCTTGAGGCTCTTTGTACTGGCTGCAAAAAAATAAATAAAATGAATTTAGTTTCAAGCATTTTAATACAGTTTAAATCATGCAAGTTTGTTTTTAAAAGAAACAATGTGACCAGATGAGAGATAATTAACTTTTTACTTGGCTGACAGTAAGCCGCTAATTATGTTTTTGTTGAATAAAACTCTGCAAAACTTGAGATTGATGGTATTTGTTTTAATCAAACTCTAGATATACAAATCTAGATATCCATGCTTGAAAATAATAGCTTCAACTGGTATGGATCTATAAAATGAAGCCCCTAAACAAAGAATTAAGTGAACTTTCTTAGTTAACAAATGTGATAAAGTTTTAAGGATTGAGAATACTTTCACAGGACACCGTATCTGTTTTTTTTAGATGCTATTACTATATTAAATTGTTTGTTTTTCAGTAACAAGCCATCTTCTCTTTTCCCAGAGTGAATAAGCTGCAGTCAGTGACCCAAATCTCGCTGCAATGAACTGCTTGACTCAGACTGCTGTTTTATTCAGTGCACTCAATGTCAACAGACGGGTGAGGAGGAGGATGGAGGGGCGGGACGTTACTCTAAACTCATCCTGATTGGCTCTCAATCTTATAAACCTGGTCTCCATTGGCCGGGCGCCCTGTCCTTTAACGAACCTGTCATCCCCGCCGCTTTCCGCGCCATTCGGCGTGCACGCGCGTGAGAGGGGACCAGGCACGCAACCGTTAGGAGACTGTCTGGAGTCTGTCTCAAATTGATAAAATTGGAAATGGAGTTTTACGCGTCTCTGCGCATCTATAAGGAACCCGCCTGGTGGGAAAATGGGATCTCAGCGCTCCTCCTCAGACGTCTCTTTTTCTTCAGTCGCCACGCATTTGACGAAATGTTTATTTTCCTTCTTTAGAAAACAAACAAACAACAACAAAAAAACCCTAAAGTTTCCCCCCTAATTCTACATCACATCAGCAGACAGCCAGCTCCTTGTGCACAGGTAGGTTAAGACCAGCTCAAACTGCTTAACAGAGCGGATGCTGCAGCGTTACAGCATTGCTTTTCGTGTTTTTAACATTTTTTTTTTAATCCAACATCTTCCTTCGCTTACAAGGCACTGGAAGGGCTGATTGTCCCATTCATTCGTGCTGTAAAAAATAACTGCTTCGCATTCGCGTTGGAAACATTTTGTGCAACTCATGCCAGACAATAGCAGTGATGTTGTGGGGACTTGACCTCATTCACACACTAGTTCAGGAAGATGCGCAGGTGACGCACCTTTGCTGACGCGAGGCTTTTTCATTAACTCCGGGCGCGCTCGTGCTGTTTAGTCAGCGGTCACCTGAGGGGCAAAATCTGCCTTCAATACGTTTAGTTTTACCCTTTCATTAATACCACAAAGCAGTAGACAAAATCCTTTTTTCTTAAAGAAAACAATTTCCTATCTCATTATCTAATGCAACATGCACATTATATCTTGCACTATGATGCATTGCGATATCTTAAAGATGTCTCCTTTTATTGTGTCTGTTTATGCTCTGCAGGGAATAACCCTTCAGCCATGGAGTTTAACATGAGTGCATCATGCATAAGGCAGTCTGCAGAAGCACAGAAAGGTTTGTTTGGCACCAATTTTAGCTTTTGTTTAGATAGAAATAAAGAAACAATCATAGATAGATAGATAGATAGATAGATAGATAGATAGATAGATAGATAGATAGATAGATAGATAGATAGATAGATAGATAGATAGATAGATAGATAGATGGATAGATATTATTAAAGCATGTAATTGGATGTTATTTTTAAAATGGGAGCTGAGTTATTAAATCCCATATTATTGCCCTTCAAAGACACCAATGGCATTGGAACTCTATCCAAGTGGTCAAATGTAATGTCAATTAATTGCATTTAAAATCTAGATATATAATAAATATATAATTCAAATATATTCAGTGACTTTAACCTTAATCAGAAGCCTGTGAATAAACTTTTATTTTCCACAAAACCAAACAAAAACTAGGTTCTTGTCAGTTGAGTTAAATATTCTCTGCTTTATCTTAAGCTTTTACTTCTACAGCATCAAACACCCTCAGAGGTGCAAAGAGTACCCAGAAGTTAGACTTAAATAAGTAGCACTACTTTAACAAATGTTTGCCACATCCTGCCTTGCAAGAAATTACTTTAGAAAGAGTAAAAAAGTATTTGTAAGAAGGCTACTGAAGCACTGAGTAACCGTTACTTGATAAAATCATGTAATTATTAAAATAAAATAATGTCAAAATATAAAGTTTTTGCTAAATATATGTTAAAGATGATGATTAAAAAAAATCAGGGTAGAAATTAACTGTGAGATAACAAACTTAGGCAGATTAAACACTTCTCCAAATCTGTTTTCAAGCATAAAATCTATGAAACCAATACAGACAGTATGTAATATACTCGATGTAACATTTCTGCCTTTAAATGCATATCATTTTGACCTCTACATTTCATACAATGTTTAGCATATAGAAGTAATATTAAACAAAAAAGGTTATGTAGAAAAAAATTATACTTACTTTAGCTTATTCAAGTAGGAATAACAATATATTTCATAAAAATGTTGCTTAAGTAAAAGTAGAAAGTAGGGTGCAGTAAAACTGCTCCTTAAAGTCAAATTTTGAGTAAATCCTAGGAATGTCCTGATACATCTTTTTAATCATGATACGATACTGATATTGCAGCTTCTAGAATTGACCATTACAGATACTAATGTTATCAGCACAAATTATGCATAATTTTATTACTTATTATAAAGTGTGGGATATTAAAAAAAACTTGATGAAGTGATATTACTTAAAAAGGGAATACTACTTAACAACAGCAGGTATGAGAATAGCTGACCTATTTATTATTAACAATGAACAGATGCAGGTAGAAGTGGAGTTTTTCAATATGTTTAAATCAGAGATTTTAGATGCATACCGATACACAATTTTTGGCAGATATTCAATTAAATCTGGATATATAATAAATATAACTAGTTAATATCAATCTTTGAACACCATTCCATAAATCTTAAAATAGAACAGAGGTAAATTGAGGTCAAATTTAACGTGCATTAAAACCAAACTGAAATAGTCTACATTAAATCAAAAGTAAAATCCTTTCGACTTTGTGGAACTTGTAGAATGTATGCATGCTGGCCTGCTTTAAACAAAGCATGAGTCTGTTGGACAGCCTCATACAATATCCAGTATAAAAAGAGAGCACTTCAATTCTCATTAAGAACAAAAGGTTTATATATTACTTGAAATACATATATAAAAACATAAATACGTTACATATATTCCTACAGTATGTACACAAAAATGGGAGCTACTCTGGGTGTGAGGCTGTGGGTATAGTTCATCTCAATAAGCTCGTCTAGACACTTGCCCCATCACTGCAGACTGTGCAGTCATATGACTCAGTCGGAGAGACACTTCCTCCCTTCTTCTCTGTTCTCTTCGATTTGGGCAAGATGGCTGCTGATGCTCTTGTGCTCCATTCCTGATAATCACAAAAAAGACAGGATTTAGAAAATAATGGGGAATCAGTATACTTGGTTTACAGTATGGGGTGTAAAGAGCACATGAAAAGTTTAGGGAACATTGCATTTTTTTTTATGGATATCTATAATCCAAATATATTTAGGTTGTTTACTAAAGGTTTCTTTATCTTCTTCTCAGCTGTTTGCATGTATGGGTCCACTGGACTCGTGTCCGCTTTAATATTTTCCTCTGGTTCTCAAAACTTTAGTAAGTTTTCTTTCATTTGCTTATTGAGTGGTGCAGATATAAAATGCTTGGTAGCCATTTTGTCTGCCAGTCTAGCAGGGCATTAAACTATTAGATAATCACCAAACATTCTACATGTTTGGATTTTGAAAGATATGTTTAGATTTTAGCGAATGTAACCAGCATTTTATTAAATTAAAGAGAAACCTCAAATAATTAATTTTGACAAAATAAATATATCTAGATATGCCTTTACTTGCCTTGTACATTATGTTTGTGTTAGAAAAAAGAATTAACAGCAACCGTTAATAATCTAATATATATATATATATATATATATATATATATATATATATATATATATATATATATATATATATATATATATATATATATATATATATATATATAGAAAAAATATTTTCTAAATGTGTTGTTTCTTTAGCGGTTATAGAAGGACATAGTTTATTTCTTGTTGTTTTTGTGTTTTTGTGTTTAATTTTCAACTTATTGTGATGTAATTAAACTTGAAGTTTCTTTTTCAGACTGTAAGTCGGGTTTTTAAAGCGAAATATACCAGCAGCTTAGTTTTTTTGTGTAAGTAAATATAAAAATTGATATATTGTAATAAGTGATGTTCTTTTTTGTTAGTATGGTCATTTAATTGAGAAAAAGGAATAAAACCTGACATGCAGTTAAAGCTTTTTTTTTTTTCACCTTATTGCTTTCTTCTTTGAGGGAGTAATGCAAGTAGCGGAAATTAACTTTAGCTTGAAAAGTGCTCTGAGCGATTGTCTGACACTACAAGTTATATCCCATCAGTGAGTCTGCGATGTTTATCTGTTTGCCATATCATTGACCAGCCTGGACAGATCTCTTCATTATCATCTACTTAGTGCAAACTCATCTGCCGACAGAGCAGCTCCTTTAATCTCTTCTTGTCCTGGTTGCTTTAATGATTTCTGAGTGGTTGCTGATTGTGTTGTTTGCTGAGGCATGAAGCCGCTTTTGAAAACATGCAGAAGTAGATCTGGAGTTCCATGTACAAAACTAGAGAGTAGTTGTTTTTGGCTTCATCTATTAATTTAGTTTTTTCAGCAATAAGTTTTCATCTAAGAACTGCTTTTTTTTTACAGAAGTAAACTATGCACACATACTTTTACAATATTATAGATAAGCCAACATTCTTCTGATCAACGAGGTTGCTTCATAGGAAATAAATTACAAAAGCACAGCACCATAGAACCCAGTTATCATACATTACAACTATCTTGCATGTCTTTAATTAAATGTGATATAAATATTTTTTTGCAAACCTCAACAAGCTTTTCAAAACTTTTTTCAAATTCAAATTTTAGAAATGAAATTGGGCTCCTAATTTATCGAAGCAAAATAGGCAGCTAACTGAAAATGAAAATTTGTTTCCTATTTTCGCAGAGTAACTGTAGATATATTTTATATTGTTTCGACCTACCCAGTGCTGGAAAGAATACAGAACATATTTAATACAAAAAATAATATTTTTATCTTTACACCCGAATTTCTAGCAAAGCCTCACAGTTGTTTGCTTTGACTTCATTCTGACACTTGATTTATGTTTTTTTGTTTTTGCAGCCACTGACATTGACATTCAGAACTTCATGTCCACGAATGGTAAGATCTTAATCGACCTTTTTTTTAAAGAACATTTGGGCTCATTTAAGTAATACAATTCTAGGAAGGTTTTCAGGTGCTGCAGCTACTGAATGTGATTGCCTCTGGGAAGTATTTCTCCACAGCACACAGCTGTGTTTGCAGAGGTTGAGCTTTTGGACTGCAATGCCAGTTCTGCACACTGCATAGCTAAAAACGTGGCTAGTCAGCGCCCGGTCCATTCACTCCTCCTTGGTGATTGCTTTTTATCAAGGCAGATTTTTTGATCTCTTTATAACATAATCATAGTTATGAAACTCGTGACTTTCACTTGAGATTTGGCTAGAAAACGCTGATGCAAGAAGCACTCTGAAGCATCCGCCCCGGTTTTCCATTGGCTCGCTGTCTCCACCCACAGTGAGGTCACAAGGTCTGACATCGTGACGATGTCTGGTGGAAAAACAGGCTTTCATCTGGTCTCTAATGCTTCCTGAGGTTTAATGAAAAGATTTCTCTTGGTGTATTTCTGAGTTTGAACAGAGTAAAATCTGAGCGTGTTTCAAAGCGAGGCCCTCTGAAAGAGCATCCACAGCAGCTGTAGCTGTCTGGTGAAATGGTGGTGTGTTGATCTCAGCAGTTCTTGCTGCATGATGGCGCAGTCTTCTCTGACATTATCAGGGGATATTTCAACTGAATACCTTCACTGCATTTTAAAATGATTTTTGGCAGTCTGGCAAAACTTAGATCCATCTGCTTTGGTTTACAGCTGCACAGCTGAAGCCTGGACTCATCCTAGCCTTCATCTCCTAGCCAACAGCGTCCATTTTAGTTCACGATACAGATAAAACATACTCAGGGCTGTAGAAGGTAGAATTTGAATTCACAATCTAAGTGCTTGAAGAAACTCCTAAAAGTTGTATGGCCTATGCAAACTTTTTTGCAGATCTTTAAAAACAATTATGCACAAATGGATGCATAATTAAAAATGTATCTAAAAGTCGATAAGTTAATTTTAATTGACTGCACAAATAATACTTATTTTATTTTAATTGAAACATTTGTGAATTTTCTGCATTTTCAAAATCATGCAATACGCGGTTTATTATGCAGCATTTCATACAATTACTTCAATTACGTTTAAATAAAAATTTTGAACAGTTTGAAGCCGTATTTAAATTCTGGTATGTACCGCAATTACATTTTATGCTTATTTTGAATCATGTGCAACTTCCTTTATCGTTGTACCTTTTAAACTCATTAAATGAGATAAATTATATAAGTTGAAAGACAGATTCAAACGAGTGTTTCTAAATGTGCAAAGAAATATTTTTAAAAACACGAAGGTCGTCGATATTTTAAAAATTTTATATTTCTAAGCAAGACTTAAAAAATGTATATTTTCCTTCAGTTGAAAGAAACATTGAATTATAAACTAGTAATAATTATTTATACGATTTTTATTTCTGCGGGAAGTCATGCTTTAAAAACACAAAATAGTAATAATAAATTTATCGTTTTGATTTTCCACAAATATATAATGATAATTAATAATAGGGTATTTTGCAAATACATTTTTAAACATTTTTATTGTTTACAGTTTTGTGTACTCGTTTTAGTCAGATATTAAAAAAATATATGAATATGAAATAGTTTCACTTTATTGTTATATTCTAAAAATATTATACTTATGTTTTACGTCTTTTGAATAGAAAAACATTTGCAACCAAATGTTTCTATTTGCGTTTTAGGCTTTGGAAATAAAAAATTAAGATTTGAACGATAACAAGGTTTCATTGTTTTAAGAATTTACTTTAAAATAAGAAGGAGCCCTTTGTAAGATATTGCTAAAGACACAGTACAGAGTTATTTATGTTTTTCTGATGAAAAGGTTTAGATGGACCTCCTCCTTAGCTTTCGTCCGCTGCTAAGACGTCATATGAAAGCCAGATCGTGTTCCGTATCCACATAACACATCAGTGGCTGTCAGTAATGTTAAGCTGAGCCTCTGCTTCGAGTTCACGTAAAAAGTGAGAGAAATTGACCCTGTTTTGGGAACATGCATATGCAGGAATGCCATGATCCTCACCTATAGTTTGATTTTAGACTTAACCAATTTATATTTTTCTTTCTCATCGAATTTGTGGCTTTTGTTTCAAGAAAATACACATATACCACTTTAATTTTAGCACCTACACACAACCTTGATTTTTTTTACACTTCAAATCTAGTTTATCTTAGATTATTAAAATTATTACATGATTCCGAATTTTGATTATTTTGGAGTGCGAAAAAGGGAACATAATAAAAAACTGTAACATTCTTTCTTATTTTTGCTATTATTTAGCGTTTAGCGCTTTTACGGTTAATGTTTAAAAAAGTTTTTCTATCAGGTTGATTTTTCTGAATAAGAATTTTTGCTTCTTAAATTAATCTTGAGCAAAATTTTTCTGAATTTCTGCGAAAGCCATTACAATTCATAAATATCAGGTCCAAATAAAAATGGGGGTTTTGGTCTGAATGTTTTTGGACTCTATTGTAAATGTTATTTGCTATTTTTTGAGTTTCATTGAGAGGTAAGTGTTTTCTCTGTCCGCAGTCTAAATGTTGTGTTTGCCTTGCTGTTGTTGCTGCTGTTTGTGATCCTGCCAATCTTCAGATGTGCACATGTTGAATGTCCGTTCCCACAGCCAGCAGCCATCGCAGTGACATCTTCAGTAGAATACTCCCTATTCACTCTTTACTCCAAATCTGACCTGACTTTACACAGATCATGCTCATCTTAAACTCTGTAAATGGCTTAAAGGAGGACCGGCGGGGTCAAGAAGACCATATTTCACTGCAGTGCTTCTGCTTAACAGGATCTTTGACTTTTCTAGCTTTTACATTTTATCTAGTTATTGGTATTTAGTTCGTAAAAAACAAAATGTAACTAGGATCAAGCTTAGCAAAACTCTCAATGCATTGGTATTATTACAGTAACACTGAAATCTAAAATTTCAATTAAATGACAGATTTCAAAAAATTGAGGAGGAAGTATTTTTGCAGAAAAAAGATTCATAAAGAGGTAAAACCATCTATTTTGGTTGATCTAGATACCTCACAACTAACTACTTTCTCTTTATCCAATTTTTATGCTCGATATTGAAAATATGTCCGAAACTGTGGGTTGAAAGTATGTTGAAAGTATCCGTGAAGCCAAAAAATTACTAACACGTCTTGACCTTGATGAGTATCCCTTATCACATAGAAGAGGAGAAATATTAAGATTAATGGGTCGATATAGTCAACATAATAACTAATTTTTATATTATTATAGTCAACATAACCCATGTTTATTTAAATAGAAATCATTGAAAATATATTTTTTTTATTAAAAAAAGCATTAAAGTTAATTGTAAAATCCTTGTTGTAAAAATGATTTCAGGTCGTGATTCATGGTCAAGACTTGACATTAACGCTAATTTGATGTAAAATACATTAACCTTATAGCAGGTTTCTATTGAATTCTACATACATTTTCTCATAACAAAAAAGCAAATAAAGTATCAGTATAAAAACTTAAATATATAAGTTTAGTACCCCCTGCTAGACTTTTCAGAATTATACCACAAGAGTAACATTTAAAAAAAACAACAACAAAACCTTTTATGGATATTGGAAATTTTAAAAATCTCACACAAACCCATGCATCTATAACAAAATGAATTGTAAAAGAGGTCCTGATGGGCCTCTATTGTAAGGCTTGTATCTTTTTACCTTGAAGGTTTGAACTGGGTAGTCAGACTAATGTAATCTGCGAGGTGATAATATTCCAGTTTCCCTAAGCGCTTATATGATTTAGTGGTTGAATATGGTCACTACAACCACTTTTTACAACAGCAACAATAATAAAACACTGTTCTATGTGGTATTATGTGTTTATAAAGAGGTACTTACGTATCAGGTCTCTAAATGTAATGTAGTATGTATGTAACTGCTCAAATGTTACATAAAAAAAATAAAGAACAACTAAAAGAAAAGCAGTGTTAATGATGGTTGGTCTGAAAAGCAGCCATCATGAATGTGGAGGTAGGGTATAGCTGTATTGCATCAACTTTCCCACTCCTGTTCAAATTTCTTACTTGGATTTCAGAAATTTCCAACTTCCAACTCCAATGGAATGGAATATAAACACAGATATCCAAATATGTGCATTGATGCTAATGCTTTAGCTTAAAACCTTTCTCTGTAATCTTTTTCTCTGTCTAATAAGATCTTTCAAAACAGGCCCTGGTATGAAGGAACATTAAAATTCCCTACTCTCCCTTACGCCAGTGTAGGGGATTTTCTTAAAGTTACCATCAAAGTCAGACATGTGAGAATTGGCAGTGTTGCCTGCATTTTTCCTTAATTGGGGCTTATTCCAACACACCTTGAATACCTGCTTTCACTTTGGCCATTTGACCTTTTTTTGTGAATTAAGACAGCACGGCAGAGTTGAGCTCGTCATCCCTGCGGTACTTCACAGTTGAGGGAAGGCTACACCATGACTAATTAGTAAATCTCACTTCTCTCCAAGGTGAGAAAAGAAAATGATTTTCTTTGCAGGAAGCTGGGGGGTTGATGAGTAAATACCCACATGCACTAAGTTGCAGTAACCTAATAAGTCTCCATGGACTTTGAAAGGGAATATTTCATATTTCAGTGATCTCAAACAGCCTTTTTCTGTGTCTCACATTCGACTGTGAGAGCCCTTTAAGGTGGCTGTGGCTGCAACCACCGACTGCAAAGTCTCCGCTATCACACAATGGTGTGGAAAGGTCAGGCCTAATGAAGTCGGGGGTGTGACCCCCAGCATTCAGTGACTTTGCATGGGCTCCCAGCCCACCGCTGCAACCTTGCCGGTTAATCCCTTTTTGATCCTAATTGATAGGCATTAACATGATCCTTATCCAGGAGCTGTGTTTTGTCTTCCACAGTCCTTCCCTCTTGGTGTCAGTGACACAAAGTGTGAAAGTGTTAAACCAAATGTGAAATTTATA